TTGAGTAAATTCCCTTTTATTCATAGATTGTTCATAGTTTTTGTCACAATTATGTTCAATATTGTCAAGTGATTTTTCTATTTCTATTGAGATAATCATATCATTTTGTCCTTTATTCTATTAATATGGTATATTACATTAATTAATGTTCTGATGCCAAACAAATCTTGAATTTCTGGGATTAATCCTACTTGATTATGGTATATAATCCTTTTTATATGTTGTCAGATTTTGGATTTGATTTGTATATATTTTGTTAAGAAAGTTTGCATTTATATTGATGAATAATATTGGCCAATAGTTTTCCCGTGCTATCTTTGTCTGGCTTCAGTACCACAGATGTCATAAAATAAGTTGAGAAATGGTCCTTCCTTCTCTATTTTCTGAAAGCTTTTGTGAAGTACTGGTATTATTTCTTCCTTAAAGATTTGGTAGAATGGTTTCTCTTTTCATTCCTCCCAAACATTGATCTTCTCCAGGATCTGCTCCAATTCATTTCTCATATTGTTTTATTCATTCTTTCAATAATCTAATCCACACACATACTATCAGCTTGCAATGTGTAAGCTTAGGACTTCCAAAGACCTGTATCTTCAGTTCAGACTTCCCCCTTGAGTACTATACAGTCATGCGATGCTTAATGACATAGATATGTTCTGAGAAATGTGTCGGAAAGCATTTTTGCATTGAGCTAACATTGTAGACTGTACTCACACGTGGCATTGCCTGTTGCTCCCATATAAGTAATGTGTTGTGCTGCCGCATCAGGATGGCTACGATGTCACTAGGTGATGGGAATTTTTCAGCTCTATTATAATCTATGGGACCACCATCATAGAAGAGGTCAGTCATTGGCGGAAACATCATTGTGTGACACATAAATGTACTTTTCTTTTGAATTGCCTAACGGTTATTTGCTCCTAAATGTTCACTGGCATTTCAAATACCCAAATTATCCTAAAAGCCACATAACACCCAGATCCATGGACTTACCCACATCTACTTTGTACCACCACACATTAATGATTACCAAATCTTACAAACAGTGCTTCCAAAATATCTCTTGAACCTTTCTTCTAGTCTTCTCTGACACGGTCACTATTTCTGACTTGGATTAAATTAATCACTCAACAGCTTTTTTTGTTGTTGTTCCTGTTTTGGGGCTACTTCCAGGTAACTGTTTTAACCAGAATATTAAACGTGATAACTAGAAATTGTCTAAATTCTGGGTGAAATCTTTAATAAATAAAAAGTCAGTATCCACCAAAGCAAGCTGGTTTTTACAGCTGTGTGTCATACTCATAAAGAATAACGGCAGGTATTGGTATCCACTTTCTTTTTCTTATCATTTGATAATATAAAAACTCTGCCTAAGGTTAATACTGTGCATTTCTCCATTAAAAATGCATTCTGTTCTTAATTATTGCCTGAAAGGATGTTATAAAATTTATCAACTCTCCATCCAGAGTTTTAGATCCACAAGAAAAGTTATCATGTATATTAAATGTCAGAAACATAAATTGTAGGGCCGGCAGAGTTTTAGATCCACAAGAAAAGTTATCATGTATATTAAATGTCAGAAACATAAATTGTAGGGCCGGCCCGGTGGCGCACTGGAGAGTGTGCTGCTTGGGAGTGTGGCGGCGCTCCCGCCGAGGGTTCGGATCCCAGGTGGAGACCAGTTCCCGCTCACTGGCTGAGCGCGGTGCAGGTGCAACACCAAGGGTTGCGATCCTGTTGACAGTCTCTGGTACGGGTGTGACACTGAGGGTTGTGATCCCGTTACCGGTCAGTAAAAAAAGACAAAAAGGAAAAAAAAAAAAAAAAGAAACATAAATTGTAAACCTTTGTGTAAATAATTTTTAAAAATTTTCTCATTTGAATGTCTGCCCATACAATTCCCCTAAAATATGATCTACAGAAATAATTGTTTTTAAAGAAAAATTTAAAAGAAAAAGTAAAAATATATATAGATTATAAAACTTAGGGAGAAAAATAGCAGATAAGAAAAAGAAATTATTTTTAGACCCCTAGCCCTCAGAAAGTTAAGCCCAAAATGTTTGCTTGATGAATGGATATTGCAGTTAAAATCATAAAAAGCAATAACAGAGGGCCGGCCCGGTGGCGCACTGGATAAGTGCGCCGCTTGGGAAGCGCGGCAGCGCTCCCGCCCGAGGGTTCGGATCCTACATGCAGACCGGTTCCCGCTCACTGGCTGAGCGAGGCGCGGGAGCAACACCGAGGGTTGCGATCCCGTTGCCGGTCCCGGTCCGGTACGGGCGCGACACTGAGGGTTGCGATCCGTTGCCGGACACGGAAAAAGACAAAAAAAAAAAAAAAAGCAATAACAGTGACATTTTAGTCATCTGCATGTACAAAGCCAATTGCTCTGAGTTGCCCGCAATTATATATTTAAACTAATTGCTGTTAATAAAAGTGGCTGTTTCTTAAAAAAAAATCAGGTCACTTTACAAATGAAATAACAGTTAATACCAGCTACCAGTTGTCATGGTAACAGCTGAATACTAAAAGGTGGGTATCTTGCTCCGTTAGCTTGTTCAGTCTGCTCCTAGGTGGGGGCATAGGATATAAAGTTAAACGTCTGTGTGATTACCATGCTAGGGTCATATATTCTTCTCTTGACATTTACACACCACCATTCAAGTTACATTGCAACACTATTAATTATGCTTGATTCTCTCCTTGTCTAGTGTTGAAAGCAAATAATTAGAGTATTTATATCCTGAAACGTTTCTATATTGCAAGTTAGAAAAATATGCTTTCCAATATTGTGAGATTTCTCCTCCTTTCAAAAGAAGTCATTTTATTTAAAATTAAAAAGAGGGTTCTGTGCAGCCATCTCCCTTTCATATAAATCATATACAAAATTTAAAAACCAAAAACAATGTTACATATAAGACCTTTAAAAAATCACTTTATAATAATTTTTCTGATACCCAATTTTCTGACTTAAGAATTTTTGTGCAACCTACTTTTCTTTGTATGGTGTTATTTCTTTTGTATAATATAGTCTTTCTTAAATTTTAATTTAAGTGCTGAATACTTCGTAGCTCTTGTGTAGCAAAAAATAAGCTCAAATTTCTTCATATTACTACAAGTTAAATACATTATATATATTGGCTTTTAAAATCTTGGTGTTTAAAAATGTTCAGGAAGTGGAAATATGTATTAATTTATAACGATTTCTGCTAGGTCTATGGTTTGCTTACAATTAGTTATAGAAGATTCAGTACAATCATAAAAGTTTTATGGTAAGGATATTAGAAATTATATAGACTCATGGTTCTCAAAGTGTGGTCCCCAACAGGTAGCATCAGCATCACCTGGGAACGTATTAGAAATGCAAATTCTCAGGCCCCATGCAGACCTATGGAATCAGAAATTTTGTGGATGGGGCCCTGAAGTTTGTTTGAACCAGTTCCACTGGTTATGCTGATTTATGCATAGGTTGAGAATCTCTGGACTAGACTACTAGTCTACCTGTCTGTAGACTAATGCTGATTCATAGTAAAATCATACCAGCTATTATTAGGGGGGGGAAATTACAGCTAATGGAAATTTCTAAGAAAATGTAAAGCTCTACTCTAAGATGATGTCTTATTGGTATTTTCTGGTAATAAATTACCTTCCCTTTATTAAAATGATGGTAACAGTAAGTCTTTTTAGGGTTCTTTCTTAGCAAAATTAAAAATCTGTAACTCTATGGTTATTCTCAATATTTCTTTTGTGTTAGGGGAGGGGATGAGAAGTTATTGTGTGGTAGCGAGTGAACTACCAGTCAATACCAACTCTCTTTTTTCATAGATGAGAAACTGACCAGTAAGATTAAGGGAACTTCTCTAAGTCAAATAACTATCTACGTGTAGAGCTGGACAAAACCTCAAATCCAATGTCATTTTATTATATTACCCTCTCTCTATAATACTACAGACAGCAGGATCAAATTTAATGGTATGTGGTTTGACAGGAACTAGAAACACAAATATCAGGATCTACGGTGAAGCAGAAGTAATAAATAATATATAAAGTGAGTAACAGAAGAGATTTAATCAAGAAAAAGGATAAAAGGGGTTGGCAAGATCGTAAGGATCAAAAAGGGCTGTGCAAGGGAATGAGATCTCAGTTATGGAGGCTGGAAGTCCAAGCACCAATTATGCTAGACTGTGGTTGGATACCTGAGGTGCAAAAAGAAATTTTGGTTTTAATTAACGATCTTTTGGATGCAGGTATAGTTATACCCATAAATTCTTTGTTTAGTGGCCTGTGAGAAAAGCTGATGAGTCCTGGAGATTCACTGTATATTATAGAAATATTAATAAATAATCACCCTGATGCCACAAGTATTGCACAATATTGTATTAACTATTCAAGCTGTGCGACAAGCTGAGGGAGACTGTTATTCTGTGACTGATTTGACTAATGCTTTCTTTTCCATTTCTACTTATGAACAAATTCAAAGCCAATTTGCATTCATGTGAGATGGATGGAAAAATACACATTTACTGCTCTCTCACAAAGGTATTTAAGTTCCCTGCTTATTGCGGCATCTATCAGGTGAGACTTAGACTTGATTCATTTGGAAAGTACTGGTATTCATTATATTAATGATATAATGTTTATATACCAATCTGAATACTAAGCTAAAACTGATTTATAAATACTGTTAATCATGTGAACTCAGAGGATGGCTGATTAACCCAACTAGAGTACAGGGCTCAGAAAAACGATGCAATCCCTGGACGTCCCCGGGACAGGGGTTACTAGGGCATCCCTCGGACAACCAAAAATAAATAATTTTCTCTGACAACTCCAAAATCAAAACAAGCAGCACAAAAATTGATTAGGTGGTTTCATTTTTAGAGAACACACATACAACATGTGAAAAACATATTAGCTCATAGTCACAAAATTACCCCCCCCCCCAAACATGAATCTGAGTGGGGCTTTGAACAGCAGGGTTTTTTTTTTTCTTTTTTTAGTGTTTCAAGGAACCAGAGCACAATCAAGCCCTTCGTGACCCTGTACACCCATGCTCACCTTAAGACCCCCATGCTCAAATGTTTTTGGAAGTGTACAGTAAAAGCAGCCATGCTGACCAGAGCGTTTGCAAAAGCCCATGACTGACACCCAGTGGTAACTGCTGGTAATTTAGACTAGAAAGTAACCAATGGCACCTTCAAGGTAAGCATCACTTGAAAACAATTCTTGGCTTGTAATTGTTATTGGGTCTTTCATTGAAATTGTTTCTGTTATGGAAAGACAATTTATTTTGAGACATGAGATACCCATTGTCCTGGCTTATGTCATATCCTTCCTACACAGAAGGAAATGAACAGAAGAATTTCCTTATTAAATAACAATTTACATTATATATCCTGTAGGATTATGTAAAGACATAACAAAATGGTCTCTTCCCTGTGACCTGTTACTAAAGGGTGCCAAACAAGCAGCATGATTTTTAGATGGTTCTCAAGGGTGTACGGCCAATCCCAACACCGTTCAATCCAGAAAGCAGTTGCACTGTTCAAGTGTTGTAGCATTAATTTAACTAAAGAGAGAACTTTTTTCCTGCTTTATAGGCAGAATTGAGTACTGTTCCTTGTGACATCAGAGGGACTAGATAATTGCTGAAGTGATTTTGTCAAGTCTTGGGTAGAAGTCAAAGGAGTTGCAATATGGTCCAGAAAACAGGCCTGAGATCACTTGGAAGACAAATTCAAAGAAAAACCCCAGCGTGGGATTCTATATTATGAAACTAATTATAGAATCAGAGGTGGTTATCAAAATACAGCATTCCCAGAATACTCCTCAAATAACTCTCAAAAATAACACTGGTAACTGCTATTACTGGTTAGTCAGCCTAGCTTGGCTACAAACCAGAAGAACATAGACGATTCCACTGGAAACCATGAGAAATCACTCCCCAAAATGCTTGACTGCACAAACGATAGGTCAGTCTGCAGATGAAACACGTCCTCTGTGAATGCAGACTTTGATCAGCAGCCCCCCAATGTCTGCCTCAACTCCCTTTCTCCTACTGTGCTGTGTCCTTTACCTTTATTAAAAGCCTAATACTCTCGAGGAGTCTTTTGCATCCTTTCAACCATCTGAATGTGATTCAATCTGTGCAACCCCTGTATCACGTCTCTTTATTATGGAGTAATAATGTGCCTACTATGTAGGGTCATTTGTAGGAATAAATTAAATCATTTAAAGTGTTCAGAACAGAGCTGGCACATTAAGTGCTTAAAAATAGTATCTTTTATCACTGAAACAATGGTATCATTAAAGTAGTTTATATATAATCTTCCAGGGTAAAAGACCATACATACTTGGATATACAGATCCTAATGATGCTTATTTTTTTTATTACTTTATGATCACATCATCAGGGAATCTCACATTTTCCTAGCAACATGTTTCAATGGTTAAGATTAGCATATGTATATGTTGAAAACAGAATATTTTTGTATTATAATAAGAACTTTATTTACGGATTTAAGAAAAGTTCAATCAAGTTTAAGGCTCTATTTTGGGGCACACTTGCTTCATCAATGTACTCTTTCCTGTTACCAGAATAATTATGTCAACGATGTATAACATGTAGTTTGTTTCAAAAGAAAAAAGTATTTATAAACTAAAAGACAAATATGATTTAGATACATTTGATATGAATTTTTAATATACTTTGATCTTAATTTTAATATCATCTGACTATTAATATTATTCAGATAAGACCGATTCAGCAGCATACTTTTTTCTTTAATTGTATTGATTTTATGATTTCCAATCTCTGTGAAATATGTAAATATTATTACTACAGGACGTGAACTTTGTTTCAAATTAGTATACATGACTAATGTGCTATAATTTGATTTTCAAAGTGATGAAAATAATTTTATAGTGTTACTTTTTTCTTTAAATTTTAATTAAATTTCTTATATAAGAATTTGGAGATATGATTTGAAAAGTAATTAAAAATGGATTATTTTTATTCATAATTTCTATGCTACAAAATGGAAAGGGTCAGTGCAAATTTTCAATTAGAGTGAATCTTAAGTGGACTTCAGAACAACACGATATATCCAAAGTGCAGAAATAAAAATAATTTTTAAAATCATATTTGACTTACTTACCTAAAACATGGCTATCTATTCGTATCGTGTGACAAATTGCTTTACATTTTAAAGCCAGTTCTCTTTGCTGATCTATAAAAAATAAATGTGGCATTTTGAGTGGGACAAGTATGGTAAATGAATAAAAACCTATTGTTATAAAAGAAAAGCAATATAATTCAGGAAAGGTAATTTTTGCTGTTATACTTCAGAAAGAATCTTGAAGTGTACAGAAAACAAGATTACAGAGATTGTTAGCTAGGATGACCAATAATAACATTTTTTTGAAGTTCTGGAAAAAGAAATTCAAAGAACAAGTACATGGATTCTGGTTACATGTAACACTGGTCTTTAAGCTAAGAGATGATCTGTACATACATCAAATTTAAAAGAACTAACTCAGAGGAAGGTCCCCAGGAAAAGTCTAATGGTACCACCAACATGTTTGATGGTCTTATTCTCAGCTCCAAATTCTTAGAAAACCAATTTTTTTCATTTGAAACATACTTGTTAATTTTAAAAAATATTTTATACCTTATTTTATGTACTGTAAGTATGGTAGTAAACAATACCAAGACATTTGCTATCTTCATAGAGCTTATTCTACGGATAGAGACATACTAAAAAAATAGAGGAAAAATATAACTTCCACTAGTGAAAAGCTGAAGAAAAAAAGCAGAATAAAGTAGAAATAGTAATGTAAGTAGAATTTACAGTAAGGGTGACTGAGAAAATACAACCGATGAAGTCAAAGTAAAACCAAGAGAGTGTGGTGTTGCAGAACGACATGTATCAGGAAGAATAAACAAGACAACTATGTCAAGATGAGAGCAGAGAATAAGCCACTAGATTTGCAGAGATGATCCTCACTCATGACAACAGTAGGTTCAGTGTTATAAAGGGAAACTTGACTGAAATAGGATCAAGCAAGAATCGTCAAGGTGGAGAGAGTGGGTAGAGATCACTGTTTGAAAGAGCTTGTCCTGTGAAAATAAAAAGAAAAATGGAGTTGTAGCTGATGGAGAATGTGTGGAGTCAAGGGAATTTGTTCTCTGTTTGCTCAGTTGCTTGCTTTTTAAAATGAGAATTGCTATAACATGATCTGGGGCTATTGGAAATGTTAAGAGAGTAAAATGATTATTTTGAGTAGAAATGGAATAATTTCAAGACTGAAGTCCTTGGGTGTGAGAGAATGCTTAAGTCAAATGCTTGAAAATACTCGTAAACAGGAAAAGGGGCCTAAGATAGGATCAATGAGCATTTTTACAAGGTGGGACCGTGGGGGTGGACCACGGAAGGAAGAATATAAGGGTACAGATACACGTAGTAGAAGGATGGAAAAACTTCTGTTTGTATTGATGAATATATCCTCAATGAACCAAGAAAGTAGCTGAAAATTAAAAGAAGGGAATAGGAGTTTGGAGTTTGATGAAAATGAAAATGTAAAATAAACTTTCAAGAGAGTGGAAAAGCTAGCAAGGATCACCAGAAGGGGTTATCGCACACTTGATATTTGGTGTTACATATTGAAATTGTACCCAATTAATATAATATTTTTATTGTGTATGATTTTCTTATTTACTGAGACTTTAGCATACATATTTCTCTCCTCACATGTCAGTGTCAACCATATACTTAATAGATTTAGGTAAACAAAACAGAAAATGTGAATTGTACAGTTCGCAATTCACTTGGAAAGGATTATTAGTGTAATTTGCAAGCCTTGCATTTTTTGTGACCTAATAGTTAGTTACTTTATTATTCTGAATATCCACAATCAAACCTGCATTCAAAAAGAATGTCTACTTATGTATAGGTATAGGACAAAATACCCTTTACTGTATTCTGAAACATAATACCTAGAATTTTGGAAAATGAGCTTCATTTAATCAAGATTAATTGTTCTCTCTCAGATGTTGATGTGCTGCTTTAATTCTGTCAGTCAAAATTATAAACTTAATTATTTTCAAACATGATATGAAATTATTAATAAACTTGTATAATATTTCTAAAGTGTCTGTATTTCAAGGGACTTTCAAGATAATCAAAAAAATTAAACATTAGCATTATTTTATAGATATCTGTTACTAGATGATGGAAACAGTTTGACTAATAAGTTTTCTATTTGCAAGGTTGTTTATCTCCACTTAAGTCTATTTTTAGCTCAGACAACAAGATCTATCTAAGAAAAGAATAACAACAAAATTAATAGTCATTTGAGAGGTCTTGATTTTTGGTATACTTACTACAGATTGAGATGGTGATTGATCATAACAATTGAATAACAAATTCTTCTGAACCAAAGTTATTTGTTAATCTAATAAATTAATAAATATGTTGGTAATAAGTTGCAGAATGCAATGTAAACATATTCAGTCAAATAGTGTATCTATTTATCAGCACAAAACAATTGAAAAATAACAAATGCAGTATGATTTTCAATAAAATCAGAAAATATGAGGTATTTAAATATGAAATAAATGCACTGAAAATACCAAATACTGATGAAAGTAAAGAAGACTTCAATAAATTCAGAAATAAACTATATAGATTGGAAAACTAGACATTAAGACATTTGTCCCCCCAAATAAGCCTATAGATTTGGTGCATTCCCAATTAAGTTTCCAGCAGGCTTTTTTTTCTAAGAATTTCACAAGCTCTTTTTTAAATTTTATAAAATTAAGGAAATTACTAACAGAAGCCAAAGCATTTTAATTTTTTATTTTTTAAAATTTATTTATTTATTATGAAAATTCATGAGATACAAAGCTAATTGTCACCCATCGCACCATTTGAGGAGATAGAATAAATTATTATTAATTATAGACAATTGAGAGCTTAAGCAACAAGCTAGAGCAAGGAGAAAACAGTTAAAATATTAATTGGACTTTGTCCAATTATTAATTAAAAACAAGCAAAAATTTTCTATTTATAAATCATTTAAAAATGAAAAGACAAGCCATAGACTCGAAGCAAGTATTCGTAAATCAAAGCTGATAAAGAATGTGTATCTAGAATTCATAAAGCTCATTCATAACTCAATACTAAAACTATTAACACAGAGACATGAAAAATGATTACATTGTATAATGTTGATTATACTAATTATCCTGATTTGAGCATCTCATATTGCACATAGATATTGATGTTCAACTCTGTACCCCACAGATATGTCAATCAATTATGTTACAATAAAAAAATAAATTTAAAAAAAGAAAAGAAAAGGGAGGAAAATATTTGAACAACTTACATAAAAACATAAAATAGCCATGTAACATATTAAAAGGGTGCATTCTTAGTCATAAGGGAATTGCATATTTGAAGCACAATGGGATGCAACTACACAACAATTTAATGACTAAAACTTAAAATGGTGACAATGTGAAGTGTTGGCATAAAATTATCTTCATTTATAGCAGTCAATTCATGATCAACAGGTAAGTGGATAAATATGTGGTATATCCATACAGCCATAGATTAATTGCCTAATATTTGCTAATAAATTGAATGAACAATAGGAAATTTGACTCTCAGGAGGATTGAGTGTTTTTTTTTTTTTTTCCTTTTTGTCTTTTTTCGTGACCAGTAACGGGATCGCAACCCTCGGTGTCGCGTCCGCACCGTGCTCAACCAGTGAGTGGATCGGTCTCCACATGGGATCCGAACCCTCGGCGGGAGCGCCACCACGCTCCCAAGCGCCACACTCCACCGAGTGAGCCACCGGGCCGGCCCTTAAGTGTTTGTTTGATACAGCACACTAGACTGGAATTCAAATTTTATCTAGAAACTGATTTCAGCAACATGACAGAATAGGATGCTCCTGATTATCCCTACTCTCCCAGACACACTGAGTAAACATCTACATATGTGTCAATTTATCCAAGAGAAAACCGGAATCTAGTTGAAGGACTCCTAGATTCTGAACACTGGGCAACTGATAAAATATCCACATCAAAATGGGTAGGAAAAGCACAGATACACTTGAGAACTAACCCCACCCTGAGCCCTGCACCTTATAATCAGGAAAGAATCCTTAATCCTAATGCCCAGCTGGATCCCGAGGAGTGTGGAGTTTGTATCACACATATAGGGCCCAATTTCACAATTCCTACCTGAGAGCTTGGTTCTTAAATCACCTTGCTTGAGGACTAGCAGGGACAAGGCATCAAAAGATTTCCTTCAAGCACAAAGAAGAAAGGGGGATTTTAAACTACCAGACTCCTCCCAACACCTGTAGCCCCTACGATCAATCCACCTTCCAATTTTCTCCTGCAAAGGGTTTGACTGCATACTTTTGCAGCAACTCCTGGACTTCTGGCCTCTAACAAACTTGTATCTGGAAGCCTAGATAGCAAATGAAGAATAAACCTCCTCAAGCCTAAATAGGAGAAATAACACTCCCACACCTTCCTCAGCTTGCTCCAGTGATAAATCCTGTAATCTCTCATTGGAAGGAGGGTGGGGTGCCTCTCTATGCCTGAATGGAAAAGTGAGCACTACCCATACATTTTTCTTTGGCTTACTCCAGTGATAACTTCATACCAGAAGTCTCCCCCTTGCAAGGAGAGTGTGACACTTCTGCTTGCTTGAATGCGATAGTAAGCACTCTCCATGCCTTTTTCCTTGGTTTGCTCCAGCAATAATTCCAGGCTTGTAATCTCTACTTGGAAAGAGATTAGAGGCCTCTGCAAATAAGAACAGGAGGGACAGCATTCCCTGCATCCTCTTCCCTGGCTTGCTCTGGCAGCAAATCCAGATATACAGACTCTCTCTGGAAGTGATGTCTGCATGCATTGAGTGCCCCAACTTTTATAGGCCCCATCCAAGGAAATGGCTCTGAAATTACCCAGCTCTGGGAGTTGACAGAGCTCTGTAGTCCTGAGTCTCCTAGACTAAAGAGAACAAAAAGGTGATTTTTAAAATTGCAGACAGTCAGTGACTATCTTCCCAGATTTAATGTGAGCAGTCTACACAAGAGGACAGGCATCTGCTACAGACCCTCTCCCTAGTATAGGGTGGAACAAGTGGGAGATGAATACTGGATCTCAGCTTCTCCACAAGGTAAGAAGAAATTGGAACACACATCTAGCATCCCAACCTCTCCAGCTGCATCCCAAAGGATTGGCTTATATCCCACCTTTCTCAAGGCAATAGCACAAGTTGGCACTCTCTAGTTTGTTAAGGCTATTAAGAACAAAAAGAGTTAGTTGGACAAGCACAAAGGATTTAGAAGCACCTAGAATCACTGGCCAGGATGATTGGGGTGGAACATCTTCTACATAAGACCAGCCTAACAAAACTAGGAGAGGTGGTTATCTCATCTAATGTGAAGAAACTAACACAAAGAGTCAAAGAAAATGAAGAAACATAGACATATGTTCCAAACCAAAGAAGCAAAATCTCCAGAAGCTGATCCTAACGAAATAAAGATATGTGATTTACATAACAGAGAATTCAGAAGAACAGTCACAAATATGTTCACTAAGATAAAGAGAACAATGCATGAACAAACTGAGAACTTCAACAAAGAGATAGAAAATAGTTTGAAGTGCCAAACAGAAATCACTGAGCTGAAAAATACAATAACTGAACTCAAAAATTCAATGAGAGATTCAGCAGAAGACTGGATCAAGCAGAAGAAAAGAGTAACAAACATGCAAACAGGTCTTTGGAAATCATTGATTCTGAGTAGCAAAAAGAAAAAAAAAGTGGAAGAATGAAGATAGCCTAAGTAATTTATGGAATATCTTCAAGTAAAATAATGCATGCATTATTGGCATTCCACAAAGAGGAAAAAACTAAAATGAAAGAAATAGAAAACATTTCAAAGAAATAATGGCAGAAAACTTCCCAAGCTGTAAGAAGGAAATAGAAATCCAGATCCAAGATGCCTAATAGGATGAATAAGAAAAGATACATATTAAGACACATTATAGATGGATTGTCAAAAATTAAGGACAAAGAGAGGATAGTGAAAGCTGCAGGGGAAACGTCAGTTGCTACATACAACAGAACCTCCATCAAGGCTGTGAGAGGATTTTTCAACAGAAACCTTGCAGGCCAGATGGAAGTGGGATGATATATTAAAAAAGATGACAGAAAATACTGCCAACTGAGAATAACGGACCCCAAAATTTTATCTTTCAAAAATGAAGAAGAGATAAAAAATTCCTCAGACAAACAAAAGCTGTGGGAATTTATCACCACTAGACTTGCCTTACAAGAAATGTTAAAGAAAATTCTTCAAGTTGAAGGAAATGTTGCTAAGTAGCAATATGAAAATATAATATTGGTAAAAGTAAATGCATAGTTGTTTAGTCCATTTTCTGCTGCTTATAACAGACTTGCTAAAATTGAGTAATTTATAAAGAAATAAAATGTATTTCTTAAAGTTTTGGAGTCTTGGAATTTCATGGTTCTGGGGCACATAGAGTGAGAGTATTCTTCTTGGTGGTGACTCTCTATAGCAATGCAGGGTGTCACATGGAAAGAATGGCAAAAATCTCTCTCACGTGCTCACTTACCCTCTTTATAAATCTACAAGTGCCACTCCCATGACACCCCACTAAACCATTAATTAATTACTCCATGAATTCATGAGGACCTAGTCGTCACAGTCCAAACACTTCTTAAAGGCTCCACCTTTCAAATACTATAATCAGATTTAGCAGTCCTAATACTGTTGCAATGAGCATTAAGTTTCCAATACATGAGCTTTTGGTAGACACATTCAAGCCACAGCATTCTGCCCTGGGTTCCCAAACTTTTTGTCCTTTTCACATATAAATACCTTTATTCCATCTCCAAAGTCTTAATTTGTTTCAGCTCAAAAGTCCAAAGTCTCATCTATGAAATCAAACAAGTTATCTACTTTCAAAATAGAGTAGTGAGACAGGCATAAGACAGAAATTCTCACTCCAAAATGAATGAATAAGCCAAAAAGAGGGGGGAAGAGGTCCTAAGCATGTCAAAAACCCAGCAGAGCAGGCATTAAATCTTAAAGCAGAGGATAATTTCCCTTGACTCCATGTTCAACATCCTCTGCACACTGGTGCAGAAGTTGGACCTCTACGTCCTTGGGCAGCCCAGCCCCTATAGCTTTCCAGGTCTGAGCCCATGCTTCAACTCTCCCAGGCTGCTGTTGCACACTGGTAGCTCTACAATTCTGGGGTACTTGTGTCCATCCTGCTTTCATAGCTCCACTAGGCATGGCTCTGGTGGGGGATCCCTGCTGCAACCCCACATTTTTCCTCAGTATTGCTCTAATGGAGACTCTCTGTGGTGACTCTGCCCTTGTGACAAATCTCTTCCTGCCCCCCCCTCCCAGGCTTTTCCATATATCCTTTGAAATCAAAGTTGAGTCAGGGTTCAGAGAGCAGCATCCCAAGGTTGCACTGGGCAGCAAGCCCATGGAGTGTGCCCCAGGCCTATTCCATGAAACCATTCTGTCTTCCCATGTCTCTGGGCCTGTTATGGAAGGGGCAGCCTCAGAGATCTCTGAAATGCCCTCAGGGTTTTTCTTTTACTTTCTCCATGATCTTTTCTTTCTGTACTAATATTAGTAGAAGGTTGTTGAGCTATACCCTTGTTTTCTCTCCTGAACATACTTTTTCACCCTTTATGTGGCCAGGCTGAGAGTTTCCAATTTTTTAACCCTTGCTTCCCTTTTAACTATAAACTCTGCCTTACATCATGCTTTTGCTGCCACAGCTCAGCATAGGCAAAGTATTAACACAGCTGCTGAGTGCTTTGCTGCTTAGAAATGTCTTCCACCAAATACCCTTGTTCCTAAATCTTAGTGTCCACATTCCATAAAGCCCTCAAGCATATAAACAATGCAGCCAAATTCTTTACCACTGCATAATAAGGGTGAACTTTGCTCCAGTTTCCAATTAACTCCTTCTCATCTACATCTGAAACTTCCTCAGAATGACCTTTACAGTCCATATTTCTATCAGTGTTCTGATTTAACCAGCTTCTAAGAGGTTCCAGGTTTCCTTCTAAGACCAGGTTTCCCTGGTCTTCTTTTTTTCTAAACCCTCACCAGAATCTGAGCTTACTCCAGCCTGCTCCTCCAAATTCTTCCAGCCCCTGCTCTTCATCCAGTTCCAAAGCTGGTTCCACAATTTCTGGTATTTGTTATGAGCAACAAACTTCTCAGTACCACTTTTCTGTGTTAGTTTGTTTTCTGTTGCTAATAACAAAATACCTGAAACTAGGTAATTTATAAAGAAATAAAATTTCTTTCTTACAGTTTTGGAGTATGAGAAGTATACAGTACAGGGGACACATTTGATGAGGGCCTTCTTCTTGGTGGTGACTCTCTACAGCAATGCAGGTTGTCACGTAGAGAGAATGGCATGAGCTCTATTATGTGTGTAACTGCTCACCATATAAAGTCGTGAGGCCCACTCTTGTGACAACCCATGAAACTATTAAACCATTCCTCCATTAATGTATTAATTCCTTCACAAGGGCAAATTTGTCACAATCCAATCACCTCTTAAAGTTTCCATCTTTTAAACACTGTAATCAGATTTCTCACCCTCTTAACACTGTTAAATAGGGACCACGTTTCAACACATGAACTTTTGGGGGACACATTTTACCCACTGCAATAGTCAAACT